AATTGAAACCCTGCTTCAAGATGCTTTGTGTTTCTGCGTTCTTTGTTGTCACTTTAACCTCCCAAGCACTTTAGCACTGGTAAATTGCTGTTATATCCTTCGGATTGTTTTTAAACCATTCAGTAAGAGGACAGAGAAATTGATACATGGGAGGAAAAGTAAAATCTTAGGGTAGGTTTTGAGGTATTTAATATTTATTATGGTCCTTTGCCAGCATAGTTTCAGATGATTTAAGCTCTCTCTCTAGGACTGTGTAAATTGGTCTTGGGATGAAATCTCACCTAGGGAATTTTATGTAATCCAATAGTTAAGTCTGATTTTTTTTTAAGTTTCCCTGTGTCTGAATGTTCCAAAGTGGCTGCTGTGATCCTGTAAAATGAGGGTTTAACTGCAGTGTATGGTCTAAAGGCAAAATCCTTATGTGGAAATTTAACTGTGTAAGATGTGCACAGGTAATTCACAGATTTTAGAATATTTCAGACTATAAAGTCCTCCTTCAGCTACATCACTGGGTATGTTGAAAACACTTATTTTCAATTTGCTGTTTTGTTGAGAAACATAGAATATGTCTAAATTAGCAATTTGTAAAATTCCAGTGCTCTTTAACATAACTGTAAATTTAAAACAACTCCCCCACTGTTGATATTCTAAGTTGAAAAGTTGGTCACCAAAAACATATCCTGAGTTTATGTCCTACACTGGCTTTCTGGCTACAGTGTATGTTTTCTCTTTGTCCTTTACGACTTCATGACAGTAATGATCTTTACTGTTAACAGAAGCAATTGTTGTTGCTTTGTGAATAAATATCTTCTGCCCTGATTTTTTGTTGAAATGCAAAAGTTTCTATCATGCAGTTATTATGTATCTGGCAATTGTTATAATCACACCCACACATATATTGATTATTTAAATCAAAATCCAACTTATTCAAATAATGCTAACTCAGTAGTATTTCATAGATTATGGACAAATTAAAAGGTCAGTAAGATGATATTAAGGAACAGTACTAGTTTTACAGTGAAATGTTAGTAGTTTACTGTTATTTAAGTGTATTCCTAACTGGTAAATGTTTTCAGAGGGTTTAGCAGTTTACTGAATCTTAAGTATTTAGAATTAAAATGCACTTTTTAAATTTAATGTTAAATAGAATCCTGTCCCTCCCCCATCTCTGCCTCCACTCCTCCAAAATAAATAAAGCTTTTCCAAATCTTTTATAATATGAGCTGTTCCCCTCCTGGGAATGAAAAGGATGTTAGAGTCATCTGATGAATTGCTGGCATGTACATGGATCCACATTTTTCAATATACTTTTTTTTAACTGGACTTAAGCTGCCTAAATTTAAATGCTTCTTTTGTAAAGATGATAAAGAGAGCAATGACTGCTATTGGCTCAGCCCTAATCTGTTTGCTTTGTTGTGATTCTTTTTTTTTCTTCTTTAACTGTTAACCTATTTATAAATCTAAATCTACATACAAAGGTCATTGGTTGGCTGAACTTAAACCATTTTACTCAGTAAATTTAATTAAGAAAATACAGTGCAACTCATAAGCAAATGAGTTTTTTCCTAGTTTTAAACCAAACCACCCTCTTGAGTGCTGATTGCCTTGCCCGACCCCTGGTGATACAGAAACAGGCAAAATTAAAAAGGACATTAAAGCTTCATTAAATCTGAAACACATTTAGTACAGTGACATATCTGCAGGCCATTTCAGAGAAGATTACATACTCTCTTTTGTAAGTTTCCTAATTTATAATACCTTGACAATAAAAACTGGGGAAATGCAAGTAGATTAATAGACCAGTAGGGATAAAAAATACAGAATGGCCCCAGGTCTGTCTGTCTCTGAAATAGTCACTCGTAGCATATGTGCTCCCTCTTCCCCATAAGGTTTCAGTGTTTATTTTGAGTTTTGACAGCCTCAACCTATCTGCTAAGAGTCCTTTTCCTTTTTTACCTTCTCCTAATTGAACTTGATAAAAAGGTTCTAGGGCCTGGCTGTATATTTCCTTCTGTTTTGTCACAAGACAAATAGTACAGAACATAAACACTGCAGCTGCATTGAACCTAAACGGACAGAGACTTATGTGGAAGGCAGCTCCTTCTCCCAGAGTCTTAGAATGACTGCTTTTGGTGCCACCCTTACAATGCCGCTGCCAGTTGTCACTGACATGGAATTGGAATCCTTGGCTTGCCACTGGAACAACCCAGTGGCAACACTGTGAAGGAGGAAATGATTGTTGTGCATCTCTGGTCAAGAACTAGGAACCATTCTCTGCCCTCTGATTCAGAAGAGGTCAGATCTGCAAGATGCCTTAGAAACAGTCCTCCCAGGAATGTAGTTGACAAGTAAGACTGAGCTTCCGCAGGACATCAGGAAAGTACACACAAGTAGAGCCAGTCCCAAGCATGATGAGTTTGCTTGTTCAAGCACTGCCACCTGTTCCCAAGCAGGCTGGTACAGAGGCTCCCAGCTGAACTTTCTCTCTGTTCTCTTGCCTGGAGGTCTCTGACAGAGTAAATCAATGACATCAGCCAGCCTCATTACCCTTTATCACTCATGAGAAGGGAGCCAAGTTGATGCGTGCACATGCCTAAGTCAGCTATAGTCCCTCCTCTCCATAGGACAGTGATGTCTTGAGAATTTGAGGTTTTGTGTTGAAGTGGGAAAAGTTCGCATTTTTCATCTTATCCCATTTTTTTAAAGCCTTGCATTTATCATTGCTTAGTTCTTTTATCTGCAAGAACCATTGGCCAGTGTTGACACTGGCCAGCTAGTCTAGACCTTAGCTGTATGTATGGTGGCCAAGCTGCTTCTGCTGGTAAGCCGGGTGGACAGAAGTTTTCCGTAGGCCCTAATAACATGTTCAGCATATACCAGGGAGAATGGTGCGGCACCTGTGGAAGGACTTCTGATAGAAGGTTCTAAATGTTTTCTAGTAGTTGTTAAGCTGTCAGCTTTTTCAGATGAGAGACCCTCCTCTTGCTACTTTTTTAAGTCCAAATGAAAGGGTGTGCAAAGCTCACAATCTGCAGACGGGTGTGGTGATAGGTGACAGCCTTTGGCAAGCAGTCACTGCCTGTCAGTTAGTACAGATGGGGCAAATGCCTAGCCCACCCATTTCTGCCACTGAAGACCAGAGTGGCTCCTCCTGAGTCAATGTACACATTCTCATTGGCCAGAAACACACCGTATTTACAAAATGTAAGTCAACTCAATGGTCACTGTTGGGTGGGGGGTACAGTGGAGGCAGTGGAGAGCTGAGTCACTTCCCTTCCTAACTATTAGCAGTATATAGACAGACATAATTGTGCAAAACTGTGAAAAGGAGTTTAACATTCACACTCTTTTTCCTTCACTGTATACTTGAATGGATTAATGATGTTCGCCAAATGAAACAATGATAGTGTAACTCTATATCTTGAAAATCTGAGAACTTTGAATATATAAGAAATGAATGCAAGGTAACAAAACTTACCAAGTATTCCAAAACATATATATATATATATATACATCCAAATGAGTGTTGACCCTTTGCAAGTAGTCACCTTTTGTGGTCATATAGGTTTATTGGTTTTATTGGTCATATAGGTCAATAGGTTTATTCCTGTTACGGTGCTGAAGCATGCACTGGTTTTAGAACTTTAAAAATTAACCTCAGCACCTTCCTGTCTATCCTTATTAAGAAACAAAATATTTATTTTTTGAAGTTGGCTTTGGGTTTTGTTGACTAAGGCCATTCAAACCTTAGCCAACAAATAATTTACATGATCAAAAAGCAGAGGGGTATAATTTTAAGTTCAGGATAAGATGCAGTTCTATTAAAATGAAGTCATTTGTTACTTGAAATGATTCTAAACATAGTTTCTAAAGAGGAGTTCAAAAATGTTTGAGCAGTGTCAGTGTCTTTGAAATAAATATACAACTTCCCAAGTTATAGAAAGGTAGTGTAATTACATTGGAAAGAATCCTGGATCAGGTTGCAAGTCTTGGGGTCAATCCCCACACTTATTAACCACGTGGAAATGTCTTCAGTGGGACTCTGGGGTTCTAGTCTGGAAAATGGATTGATGTTTCTTGGATCCATTCCAGCTTCAAAGTTCCCTGTTGTAGCAATTCTACTTTTAAATAGTTACAAATACATATAAAGGATTTCAAGCTTGAAGATGGGCCATGTTATGAAGTTGCAAAATTTAGCCACTATTTTCTTTAAATAAAATAGTATAGTCTTATACTATAGTCTTATAATATGTTTGGTAAATTTGATCTTATCACTGTGTATTAATCCTGTTCCTGGTTGAGTCATTTTGTTTCCACAGGTGAGAATTCAAAGACCAAAGTTAAGTGAGTGGTGTAGAAACACAAAGCAGTTTACAAATCAAGCAAAATTGGAAGCTCTAAGGATTCATTTTCCAAATTTCAGACCTATTGTTCCAGCTCCACGATCTTGAAATGCCATTTTTCCCACTAGTAATAGCTCTTGCCGTTTATCTCTGAATGGATGGGGAAGAAAATGAAAATAGTGGCAAAATTTCCTGTTTCATATGGCCCATTTCCTACAACTCTTCTTAATAATTCTTATAACTGACAATTCTACAGAACAGTCGGCTAGGATCAATTAAATGTTCCCATTTTTACAAGAGAAAAAAAAAACAGTCTCCTATGATTTTATGTCTCTGTCTAGAAGAAGCTGTTGTACACTTATAAATGTGAATAATGCCTGTACAGCTGAGAATATTCCTAAGAGAAACGACGTAAGGATAGCGTTTAGTTGTTAAAATTAGAATATTTTATCAGGGAATACAACGTTGTCCAATGTAAATCTTCATTCTAAATACAACTCTTCAGTGTAATTACAACAATAATTTAGTTTGTGCGTTTGAGGTTGTAAGATTTTTATTTTTGCTGGATACAGTTCTGAAATTTAGTACTTGTCTGTCTTAAGGAGATCTGCCCTGCATGCAAATCTATAACTAGACAAATATTATTTCCTTTCCCAGCTTGCTCTTGGGAGGTTTCCATATCCTCAGGTAAGATTGTTCATTACTGCCGTTTGCCACTGTGACATTCATTCCTATGTATGAAGGTACAGGGAGCAATTGTGAACATTTGAGCCACATACAAATAAATCTGCCCTGTTAAATTGAAAAGTGATATCTTAAAGGAGTCATTTAGAAGTCTCTATTGATTTTTTATTTTTTTTAAACTCCAGATTTTTTTCCCTCTTTGTTAAAGGTTGGAAGCCATCACCATGCTCTTCCTTTGTGTGACATTGGTGATGTTTTCCTCATCCCAGCCCAGCACCATGTGCTCATACAGAGGTTGGAAGAGAAGCAAAGCCTTTTTCTGATACAGTGTTTAAGTTTTTGGATTCAATTAGTTATTTGAATTAAAGGATGGAGATGAAGGGTGCAAGTATCTAATCTAGGTCGTTATTTTTGCTAAGCAAATAGGTGGACCCCTACTTTTACATGGATATGATTTTGAGCTTTTTTTTTTGTCCTTTCTATTTACATTTCTAAGAAAATAAACTGTCCATTATGTTACCATTGCTGATGCTAATCTCTGTGGTAATTTCTTTAAGATTTTTATTATAGAAGGATGTTAGCACTTAAAATGTTAAGCTATTCTGTGGTTTGAAAATGGTTCCCCAATGTGTGGGGAGAAAGAAGTGAAATGTCTAGAGGGATGAAAAATGAATGGTTTGACTGTTTTCCTCTGGTTGATGCTCACTGTTTTTCTGGCATCTTAGTCTGTACAGGCCAAAGTGCCTGGAGGCATGTCTGATTTAAAGGTGGTGTTGGTCTCTGCTCTTTAAGCATCTATTAACTTGCTATTATTATGCAAATAAGTGTTGTATTACACATACTAATTTATGCATGGTTAGATTATGCAGATGCATCACAAACATGGTTATTGAATAATAGGATGGGGCTCATTCTCTCTCCCATCTTTATAAGCAGTTTTAAACAAATTCTCCTGATACCCATGTGAACATTTAAAGCCCCTTCACACGCTGAAATGTCTCTTCTGTATCCTTTTTCTTTTACAGTTAAAGCCATCAGATAAATAGAGGAGAAATTGTCCAAGTTGTTAGGTTCAAGAGTGTCAGTCTCACTTTTCAAATGTGTAGGATTGTTTGTTTAAACATAATCTTTTCCTTAAAGAGATCTGAAATGTAATCACTTGGCATGCATGCTCGAATTTAGTGACATTTTAGTGTATACAGCCTTGCTGCTTAGCTCTAGGTAGCCCATCAAATTAAAATCACATTTTCAGGATTTATAGCTCATTAGAATATTTATCTTGGTAAGCCTCTTATTCTGTCAGTAATTTTTAAACAATTCACTGTTTGGCCAATTTATGCAATCCCCTCATTTTGTAAATGAAGAGGCACTATACAACTTAACCTGTCAAACAAATCTTGGTAGAAAGCTTGTAAGCCATCTAGAAAAAAATACCACAGTTTGAGAATATAGCTGTATTCTTGAGATTCCTAATACCTAGAGTATTTAATCAGTGAAATTTGGTTAAGTGAGAAGTCTAAGAAATGATTGCCTTTGCATTTGACAAATGAAGCTTTGAAAGACTGGTCGAATTTGGGAAGAGGCTGTCTACCTTCCCAGTATTGAATGTTTTCGGGAATGTGTTAAATGTATGTTTACTGGATCAGTCAAGTGGAAATGGAAAACTCAAATGTGCTGCACTCCCTAGTTAGCAATCACTGTTACACCAGAGTGAGGGGAAAACTATAATTCTTGGATCTTGATAGAGTGTTGTCACCAAATTGGGGCTTTGAAATAATAGAAGTAGCTTTTGATGCCATCAGGTCTGTTTCTGAGGTCTTTCAGCAGAAGTTTGTGCACTTCATTGTTGGCACCAGTAATGACTTTTGATGGACTTGCCATTTATTTTACAGGCTTTGTACTAACTATATACTGAGGATTGAGAAAGGATACTTTATAAATTCCTTTTCCACCCTTACCTTTTGCCTCCAGATAAAACACATGAAGAAAAATAAACATTTTTATAGTACCTCAAGGACTGGATTATGAAATAATACCTTCTTGTTTGGCCCGTATTATCTCATTTGAACCCCCAGCCACTCTGTGAGTAGCTTCCCCTCACAAATTGGGCAGACAGGAGAGCTGATTTGCTCACTGTTGCACTGTAGCTGGTTTGGGGCCATTGAATCCCGAGTATAATGGGCAGGAGTGAATCACAAACTCTCAAGATTGGAAAGGGATCTCAGACAACGTCGAATCAAACCTCTCTGTAATATCCCTGAAAAGCAAACAGTTGAACACATCTAGTAATAGGAGACTCACTAGTTTACAAAGCAGCCCTAGAGTCAAATCTTGATTTACCACACTTAAGGACTGCCTCATCTCAATTGTTACCCACTAGTCTGCTTCTTGAACACAGGAAAGATTTTCATATATCCTTAAGATCTCAAAGTTTTGCATCCCTTCTGTTCCCAGGGCTGGTGCTGAGTCAAATCAGGGCACCAGATCTCAGCTCTCTTCCCTAGTGAGAAGCTGAGGAGACTGGCCTCTTTGAAAGAGCTCTAGACCGGGAGCCAGAGATGAGGGTTAGAACCCAGCTCTGGGGCTTCCCTGGTGGTATAGTCATTTAGAACCCATCTGCCAATGCAGAGGACACAGGTTAGCCCCTGCCCTGGGAAGACTGCACAGAGCGCGGAGTGGCTCAGCCCCTGCGCCTCTCCCGAGCCAGCGACTGAGAGCCTCAACCGCTGAGTCCTTGTGTGTGGCTGCTGGGGCCCGTGTGCCTCGAGCCCGTGCTCCAAAACCAAAGAAGCCACCGCAGCGAGAAGCCTGTTCACCACAACAAAGAGTAGCCCCGACTCTCCACGACTAGAGAAAGCCCACTCACAGCCAAAAATAAAAGTAAAAGAAATAAATCTTAAAAAAAAAAAAAAAGAACCCAGCTCTACCATAAGCTCCAGTCACCGCAGGCCTTAATTCTTACTTTGTAACTCTTTGAGGCCTGTTTTCTCATCTCTAAAATGAGCCTGTCTGATTAGAAGCATGCAGATCAGATGAGATTATGGTGAAACCACTTGGGAAAGTACAAAGGGCCACCCTACTGGCCCTGATGTGGGACTGTAGCACAAAAGAGAACTTCTAATTGTCAACCAAAGGTTGCAAGAAGATGTGTGCGCAGCCTGCCAGCTGCAGCTGGAGCAGAGCGTAAGTGAGCAGAAGGGAAGGAGGGAGGAGAGGCCAGCTTCCAGACTCATCCTTCCCCCAGCCCAGCGTCAGCGCCGCTGACAGCGTCGTTAGCAGCGGCTCTTCCTGCTGGTGACGGGAGTGTACCCGCTGGGGATGCAGATGCGGGAGGGTTGCTGGGAAGATAGCCGGAAGAGTCAGTGGCCTGGGAACCACATAAAGGTTAAAGGGCTGGATTGTCGTTGAAAGAATCATTCTCCAGGAATTTCATTGTTGGGGGGGCTTGGTTTTTATTTGTTATTTGAAAGCACTGTCTATTTTAGTTTCCTTTAGACCTTAAAGTTGTGTAGCCTCATTGGCATGCAGTTTAGGGCTCTATGGCAAAAAAGGCTAGAAGTCATTATAATTATCCAGTCTTATTACTACAGTTTATAGTAGGAGGACCAATGATGTCGGAACCACCTTTCCAACATTGAGCTCCAGAGCACTCGCTGTTATGTGACTCAGGCTATACATCCCACCTGCAGGAACTATTATTTCCAGCCTCCAGGTGACCAGATTGAGTCTCCAAGGCTCCAAGGCACCTTGCCTCAGGGATGAATCGGTACAGTGAAAGCTGAGACTTGCTGGTGACTAAACTAAATGACTGGCTCTGTGAACTCTGATTTTGGTTGACTGTTCAAACCACTGCCCTTCTTCCCTCTCAGCCCCAAGCCCTTCTCCTTACTCACCTTCTCTGCCCTTGGCAGGCCGCCTGTGTAGATGAGAAGGGTTGTCCCATGGAAGATGATGACAAAGCCATTCCCCTGGAGCCCCCCTTGCTTTTCTCACCATGTATTTAGCAGAGTGACAGGGGATCTGGAGGCCTTGGAGCTCTCACTGACCCCAGTGCCATTAAACTCTGGGTGCCTATGAAGCATATTCTGCAATAGCATAATGAAAAATCATGTTTTTAAACATCTGGTAAAGAGATTGTATCTCAATTTCTTGAACAGTTTAGCTGTAATACTCTTTGGGAACAATGTCCATGTCCAGACACGGGTGGTAGCTGTGTGTAGTTAATCATGTAGATCCAAATCCAGTTGATTTAAAAAACATGATGGTGGGCAATGGTTGGTTTAATGACACCGTAATTTAGGAGAAATGAAAGATTGCCAGCTAAAAATTGTCCTTCGTTCAAACTTTACAACAGTGCCCTGCATCAGGGCAATAGTAAATCCATTAAGGCGACTTCTCAAGGGTTCTGTCGGCTCTGACATTTGAAAATTTGGTAAGCAAGATGCCACAGGAAAGTGAAGATAATATGGATACACATGTATTTAAGGTACTTTTGCATGTATAAAAATGTTGTTCTTTTGGCTACATTTCCTGATCTTGGTTAATAAATTACATCAAAATGACCTGAAGTTAAAAAAAGGAAAAAAATCTGAGCAAATAGTGCCCCTGGTATTGTAAAGCTTTGAATGTTTTCACACCCCATTAATTTATTACTTCTCTTTCTTCATCTTTAAATTTCATTTTTTTTTTTCAAAAATTCCGACTCCCCGCTGCTGCAGTGATTTTCATCTTGTTGTTAATTTTCCCTGCTCCATATGGAGCTCCAGACATTTCACCTGGAGGCTGTACTAGATTTTGCTGTAGTGATCGTACTTCCGGAGGCCAAAACTGTCATTTAAGGTTCCTGGTGCATCTGTCTGCGCCAGGCTTTTCACTGGCATGGGAGAGTGTGAATAACAAATTGGATGCACCTGAGATTCAGATGATTAGTGTGTTTTGTGAATCTCTACGACTTGTAAGCAGATAGCTCTGGGGGTGGCGGGGAGGGCTGAACATCGACTGTG